AAAAAAAAAAAAAAAAACGGATTTTTTTTTTTTTTTTTTTTAGCTCCCCCAAGGGAAATAGGGCCGCGCCGCACTCTGCTGCAGTGCAATACAGAGGCAACGCTGGAGGAATCGGGCAGGCAAGCCTACCCCTGTGACCCCTCCGTAGCCCAGAAAATTTAATTTAACATCTTAGTGACCCGATGGACCACGGATCAGATATTAAACTGATCAGAACAGATACTACACTTGATCTTAGCCAAAAGGCCTAGAAAGGTATAAAAAAACGGATACTTCGTTTTCCTACAAACTGAACGACAGCACAAAGAGGCGCGCTCGCGAACACGCGCGCGCACACACACACACACACGAAACACCCCACTCAAAGTCTCCCTGACCTTAAACACGAGGAGGAGAAAAGAAGTAGAAGGGCAAGGGAGGGAAAAGAAGAGGGGGAGGAGGGGGGGGCGGCGACTGGCGCCCTACCTGATGCCGCCAACGTTAACGCTATAGTCGAGACGCAGTCACCTATCTCTGTTCCTTTCGCTCTCTCTCTCTCACGCGCACACACAAACACACACACAAACTCCCACGGACATGACAACAACGCTTACACAAACGCGCGCACCGCACTAGCTGTTACCCGCGCTCGTTTGAAATGTGGACACACCCGACACTGACAGGACGCGGCAAAAATCAAAGCAGTCACACCCCGCTCGTGGCCGTTAGGGAATGGCGCCGGATTCAACCTCTCACTGCATGAACGAATGTGGCCCTTTTCGTAGGCCGGGTTCAACCTCAACAGCAGGTCCTCCTGCCAGACCGAGGGGGAAGAAGCGTTACTCGACCGGTAGGCCCCAAAAGGTGTTCATTCGAAACCAGCCAGGAGACTCGGTTTTATTTATTTATTTATTTTTAGAACTCGGTTCTGGGCCTCAGTAAGGTCAGCAGAGGTTGAGAACCATAGCACCTGGATAAGACCCGTCCTCGTGGGTTCCCTCAGGTCGAACTCCATCTGTTAGTTTGGAGCTGGTAGCCCTTGGGCTAAGCATGCCACATGAACCGCCGCTGGGTAATAGTGCCAGTACTCTCCCCGGGCTGTTTGTGAGGTATTCCCCACCTACCTTCTTACCTTAAAAAAAAAAAAAAACAAAAAAAAACACAACAACAACAACAACACGAACGGGACGTGTAAGTACGTTGTGCAATGAATTTTGAGGTACAACTTCTCCTGGGCGGCCCTTTACGGGGGTACGTTGTATTCGAATACAATGAAGATACATTATGTTTGAATTTTGGGTTATGAGAGGGGAGCCCTATAATACATGAGAGGACCCCGGCATCATCACTTCGATTGGAAATATATGAGTTGGGGGGAAAAAAACAGAGACATGAAGGTTCTACTCTGTCTTTTCCCCTCACTCAAATTTGGTAGCAAATTTCAACAATACTCTCAGGCAAAAGATGTACGTACTGCATTGTTCTTCGACTCTTTTTTTTTACGCTTTTTTAAATAGTGAAAAATGTGTCAAATGCCAGGAACTACGAATACAACGTATGGATGTTGTATTTGAATACAAAGTAGGGATGTTGTATTCGAATACAACGTTCGTACGTTGTATTTGACCGCGCGTTCTATTCGGGGGGAGAAAAGCGATTTTAAGAAGTCTGGTTTCCGAAGGTAATTTACATACAACGTACATACATATTTTTCGGGGTAAGAAGGTAGGCTTCAAACCACCTGTCCATCCGAGCCTAGACTTCCTCAACTACGGTTCAAACCACCTGTATATTCGAGCCTCTTCCCGTCGCAGTTTTTTGCAGCGCGCCGGTTCAGCATGGCATGCAATTTATCTGGCGCCGCCCGTTTCCACCAGGTAGGCCCAGTTTTCAATTTTCCGGCGAGTAAACCACCGCATTGGGAAAAAATAGGAGATAGAATTACTCTACAAGCAACAACAAATTACTCTGCAAGTCGGGAAAAATCTAGGAGATATATGAAAAAACGTAGGCCAGTTGAAGGGGGTGGGAGGAGGGCCGCACGAAAACGTGTGCTAACGGAGCGGCGATAGCGCCGGTGGCGGCCCCCGGTCATCGGCGGCGCCCGTGTAGGACGCATTGTTGGAGCATGTGGACGCACGAGGCGCCTACCCTGCCAGGCACCATAGCTGTGTGAGAGCTATGGCAACAGTACCCTGGTGTTGTGACGCCCAACCTCACGCCCGGCGCGACTTCCTGTTCGGAGTGGGATGTGGGCCCGGAAGTGCGAAAAGGGGTGTGCCAAGGATTTTTGGGGATTCGGGGTGGAGTCCCAGGTCGGAACTGAGATCTCCTGTGGCAAGATTCAGGGGCATAGGTGCAATAAGGGACGGGTTCGTTTGTAGGGCTAAGGGACGGGTTGTTCCCGAGCCGGAGGCCGTGGACGTCGTACAGCATAAGGCAGATGGCATGGGCAGTGCATCCTGGGCCATCCGATCCACCCCTGTTGGTTCGTGGCTTTAGTACGTGAAAGGGTCCGTTGTGGGCATTACGGCCTCTCCAAATTGGGCCTCCTCGTTTGGACGCGTGGCGGCTGGCACCACGCGTTGCGGTTACGCTGGGTAACTCCGGAGGTTCGGGGGTTGTCGCGCTGTCTGCAATTCCTGCACGGCGCGTGGGGCCAGTACGGGGCTATGGAATCCCAAGGTACCACTGTAAGCCGATGATAAGGGAGACGGAGTCGGAAGGGAGGAAAATTAGTGGAGATGACGACGAAGCCGGGGTATGTGAAATAATGCTTGTGACGGGCCTCCGGGTAGTCAGGACCCCGTGGGTCATTAGTAGTGGCGTAGTGGAAGTCCTCCGCACACACCCGATCGTTCTCCGACTGACAAGGGAATTCCTGGTACGGTCGCGGAGATTCCCACTGACTTAAATTCTCGCAAAGGGGGAATTTTGTACCCATCCCAATACTGAAAGTGCCAAGTTCATCCAGTGATCACGAACCGCCCACGTGTGGACACGTGTAGGCTGCGTTTATTGGATCGTGCTTACACGTGCGCACACGAGGGGCCTGGTCGTATACACGTCCGTCGCCCGACTCCCATGCAAAAATGAGGTTCAAGTCCTATATACAAAATCGCCATGTGACGGAAACAAGCACCCAACAATCCAATCATTCAGTAATCCCATAAGCAACAAACATTTCCCGATCATGCAAAGTGTCATCTCGCATACATCAGACACCGCAAATAACATCAACTCCTTTTATTCAAATTTATTGGTCATTGAACGGATTAAATGACGAGCAAAAACGATGATTAGTTGACGAAAAAGAAATGACGAGCACATCATTCAACCATCCTGCATACACAAAACTCATCCATCCCATCAAGCACACCAGAAAAAGGGGAGGAAGGGTCGAAACTGAGTAAAACACCAGAAAAGGGCCGAAGCCAAGACAAAGGTGTCACAGGAAAAAATAATGGCGGATTGCCTAAAACCGAAACCAAAACTTATATACAAGACTGAAGAAGACAAAGAAAAGTACAATCTCACACCCATCCACCTCAGCTCTCTCTCTCTCTCTCTCTCTCTCTCTCTCTCTCTCTCTCTCTCTCTCTCTCTCTCTCTCTCTCTCTCTCTCTCTCTC